TCTAACACACATATGAAGAAATAGGGGGAGGGCAATGTCTCTCTCTCTCTCTCTCTCTCCCTCTCTCTCTCTCTCTCTCTCTCTCTAACTGTGATTTAATGCTACTAATCCAATGCTTTCCAGGTAAATCATTTTTTTTTTAAAGTGCAAAGCCATGATCTTCACTGTTAATATGTCTCTTTTCTGAAGTAATTCAGCCCAACAAAAATTTATGGGGCTCCTGTTTCTAGCTGGTGGCCCAATATGTTTTATGACTTTTAGTCCCTAATAGGTATTTGAGAAAACAATACTTCAAGAGAGGGATCTGGCCCTCCCCTCCCCAACCTTGGAGAGCCACGCAGATCCGAAGGGAGGCCCACCTTAATGGCCAAGTCACAGTGCTCACTGGCCGTGGTGAGCTGTTCGATGTGCCTGTCCACCTCAGCCACAGAGAGGCTACAGCTGCTCTTCTTCCTGCCGCAGACGACACTCTCCAGCCCCGTCAGCACCCTCTGCAGTTCTGAGTTCAGGTCACTGCAGTTATCTGTGAAGGAATGAGAATAAAATCATTAAACAGGCACACTGGCAGTGTTTCCTTCACCACAAGGGACTCATTCAGGTGAAATGAAGGGCAGTGCAACTTGCTGTTTCCAAGCTGCACATCATCCAGCCTCATCGCACAGGCTGCTAGCTGAGGCCTGCAGTCACCAGAAACCTCTTTATTAAGGAGTTTCAGACTTTGGGCATTTTCTCGATGGATGCACCACCCTGAATTCTCTTGCCTTTCACTCAAAGGAAACCACATTTTGAGTTTTACTACTAAAAACAAAGCACCCCAGAAGGAACTTTAAACTCCAGACAACCCTGTTTGCTCAGTCATTTCAGACCAAAACCAGTTTCAGAAGACCTCATAACTTCATAAAACAAGCAACAGGAAACCTTAGAAAGACAGAACTGCTAGGCATTAAAAGACAGAAACTGTAAGAGACTATTCCTGCCCTCAAAGAGCTTCAGATCTGCCTCTGCCCCGTACATCAACTGACAATGCTCCTTCGTCTTTCATAATTTAATACATTTTCCTCCATCAGAGGAATAACTAACTTCTAATATATTCCTTATCATTCTTCATGTAAACGTAAATTCTAATCACTTTATTTTAACAATTTGTGTTACTATTTTTTTTAACTTTGAAAAAATTTATTGAGAATTTCATACATGCATATGAGGTATTCTGATCAAATCCATACCCACTCCCTCCCCTCCAACTCCTCCCCTATCTCCCTATCACTTTTTCCTGAACAACTTCATGTACCCTTTTTTAAAAAATAATTTATTGAGAGTTTCATACATGAATATAAGATGTTCTGATCAAATCCATGCCCACTCCCTCCCTTCCAACTCCTCCCCTATCTTCCCATCACTTTTTTTCTGATAACTTCATGTACTTTCTTCTTCTTTGATTTATTTATTTATTTTATGGGGCTTGTGGCCTCTGGAACAGAGTAGGTTGCTAAGAGGCCCAAAGACATTATGAGTTTTAGTCAAGAAACTGGCTACTTTCCTTTGGGGTCTTTTTACCCTAACTGACTAGCGAATTCCTACCTCCTATTCTTATCACACCATCCTCTGAAGAGGTTACCCAAATTGCCAATAGGGAATTGGGATGCAAACCTATCTGGCTTCTTCCATGCTGAACAGGGATGCAGAGTGAGGCAACTGGAGTACCCCTTCAGTGGGTCTATCTAAAAGACTCCCAACAATTTGGGTTACTATTAACTCTTAGACACCCAGGACAAGGGAAGAAAAACCAATTATGAGTTAAATACATGTTAGAAGATAGCTTTTTTGGAGGGGATTCCCTTAAAAAAAAAACAAAAAACATTTTTTCACCTGCTCTTTTGGGTTCTGTGTATTCCCACGTCATTCAGTTACTATAGCAACATATGTTTGAATGATTCTGCAGTCTCTCAAAGTAAATCCTTCCTTTACATCCAGTCTGATTCCTGAACATAAGAGGCTGGTACCTTCACAATTTCCCTTGTTATAACAAGCTCCATGCACCAAAACTGAAAACTGATTGAGTTGCTAAGCTTTGGAACACTTAAGAGAACACGTGGCACTGCAGGACCCAAGTTTCTCAGGATAGGTCAATCGACTTCCTTCAACTACTCAATCTATTAGTTTCCCAAATGGACAAAGCAAACCAGCAGGAGGCTTTCACTCCAACCGATGTGCACGATTATTCCATCTGCTTCTCAAGCTTACTGCCTTCCCATCTCTCTCATGTGAATGGAAGCCGCATCCCACCAGTTACTCAGGTACACTCTGAAGCAACTGGGATGTCCTTTTGCTTCACATCCTAAATCAATCCATCTGAAAGTCATTTCCAAACTGACGTCGTCTTCTTACTATTCACTGTACCACTCTGCTCCAAGTCATCATCACTTAAGTGGGCCACTCTACCAACCTCCTACCACCAGTCCCCACACGATAGCCAGAGTAAGCCTCATAAAGATATGAATCAGATGATGGTATTCAATGGCTTCCTTTTACCATCCAACTAAGATTCAAACTCCTTCCCAGTCTTACAAACCTCTGTATGACTGAGCCTCATGTTCTTAGCCCAGACAACCATGGAATTCCCTGGAGACCATTTATATAAAGACAGTGTCAGGCCCCACCTCAGACCAATTAAATCACAATCTCTGGGGGTGAGTTGACACACTGGAAAAGTTCCAGTTCCTCAGATAATTCTAATGTGCGGTCTAGTAAGAACCACTGGTCTAACCCTCTGCTCATCTGTCCCCCTTCCTTGTGTTCCCTCTGTGCTTTCCAACTCCCAGCCTTTTCTTTATCAATGGAAGATGTCAAGTTCTGACCTATTCTAGGGGGTTTGCCTTCCTTGGCTGTTTCCTCTGCCCACACTGCTTTCCACTTACCATGTGGCTCTCGGCTCAAATGCGATCTCTCCATGGAGCTCCCCCTATCTGGAGCATGGGAGTCCCATTTCCTGTCTTTGCTCAGTCCCAACCCCATTAGCCTGTTTTCTACATAGTAATCATCACTATCTGATCTGACACATATTTTTATTATCTCTCTCCTCTAAAAATGTATGCTCTATGAAAGAAGGGACCTTGATCTTCCTTACCAATGTATCTTAACATAGAACAGTATAAACAATCAAAAAATAATTCTTTTAACTGAGCAAAAATAAGCATTATAGTGCTACATAGCTGAGTCAACAAGACAGAGAAACAAGACTCTAACAGAGTAGCATATTTTACATCAGCCTTATGTTTTTTTTTCCTTATTATGGGTATGAGATTCTGACGAGGGGTTGGAGCAGGGGAACAGCCATCACAGCAGACGTTCACCTGACAGTGAAGTCAGGAGCTCAGCACTGAAGTGATACAAAGGGCCCAAGTATTGAGCAGCCCACTCTGTTAACACACAGTTCAGTCTCTAAGGGACCACTGGCACTCCCGTGCAGGTTCCCAGGTATCCAGAGCTGGGTGAACACACATCCCCAGATGACTTATATCAGTAAGTGCTTATGAGCAAGATAAGGAAGAAAGAGGCTTCTGCTCAGCCATTCTACACGGACTTCCCTGGCATAGAACCACCTGATGCTTGAGTCATGTTGGTTGGTCTGCTGAGGGGTTCTTAAAGCACAGCTGCAGGTTGCAACCCAGCTCCAGGGAGCAGGGGAAGAGCAGAGGCAAGGGCTCTGACAGTATTTCTTTCTAAACCTGTTATCAGACAGTGACTGAACCTGACCACAGTCTGGAAGCTGACCTCCTAAATGAACAAGACATTTTCCTCAATTCTGAAAGGCTCACATTGGCATGGAATAAACATCAAAGGCTTTCTCTGAGGTCCCTGCCAATACCCTGGAAAGTTCCTCATGAAAGCACAGTGCCATAAAGGACAGTGAGTCAGAAGGATCGGGGAGCACTTAAATGAACACACACAGCCTGGTGTAATGGCAGAGGTAGAGATAGGAGGATCTCTACATAGTGTGTCTGAGAAGGAAGGAAAGAAGGGAAGGGACGGAGGGAGGGAGGGAGGGAGGGAGGGAGGGGAGGTGGGAGAGCCCCTTAATACCAAAGTAGGTGAAGTCTGTACAAAAGCAAAAAGTTGTAATAGTAAGAGAACAGGGGCACACCAGGCACCTCTAAACACAGCCCAAGGTGGGTGTTCCAGACAATAAAAGGTTGCTTAGGGAAGTGCATTCACAGTGAAACATGATAAAGTCAGCAACCCTGACAGTTTAGAGAGGATTTGACACAGGGTGCACACATCTTCATATTCTATTCTGTTCGGCAGGTAAGTAAGCCTCTCCCAGAGGAGACATCTGAGGCTTGAGAACCTAAGTTGCATGGGGAGGCAGCAGAGCTGGAGCTTCTATGGTGGATTTCTATGGCCAAGGCCATTCCACTAAATACTGCAACCCAGAATGGGGCTCTCTGAGTGTACAAGCACAAGCCTGCTTGCTGTGTTCCTACTGACAGCCAGGAGAGTCAAGAGAGAACCAAATGAACGAGGAACTCTGAAAGAGGAAGGATTGTGTACAGTACTTCTGGAACATACTACAATGCTTGGGAGGTAGGAGAATGAGAGAAAGCGAGTAGAGATATGGGGAACCTCTAGAACTGGAAAGAGTTACTGACTCTTAAACACTCCAGCCTGCAGGTCAGGAAAGTGGAGTGAAGGAGCAGCCTAGAGATGCTCCCACCGCTTCCCCGTCAGCTATGCTGGGCTTTATATGGAGAAGGTGACGGCTCTCCTCTGCCTCCAGAGGACAGGGAGGAGGCCCTCTGTATCA